AATTAAAACCTCCTATTTTCACACACTGAGACAAACTTTAAGGAATTTAGGGGTTTTAGAGGAGCCAAGGTTTTAGTTAGAGATAAGCTTACTTAGAGTTAATCAGAATATATGGGTAGGCCTTGATGAAGTAAAGAGTTAGTAGTTAACTAATAATTGATTGCTTGTCAACATAATGTTTGGTTAGCTGGGTTTATAATGAAGAATATAGAAACTGATAAATAGCTTTTAGGAACATAAGACAATTCTAGGCCTCCTCTGTTCTGAAACCAATTGAAGACGGGAATGGGAGTTCTAGCAAGGGTTCATATGACATATTTGCATTGAAAAGGTAGAAAGGTCAGAACGAAGAAGACTTCATTTACTTCCTCATTTTGGGACCCCTCCCCATGAAAAGGACCACTGACCTATTTCAAGGAACAAACTACACATGCTTAATAGCTTTTGAACTAATTACCATATGAAGCGGGGAATGGGATGTGCCAAAGTTATGAATATGCATTTGTATTTTAGGTATTCAATACTTGTGTAGATTAAAGGACTCTGTGATCACCTGTAAATTGTGGTGTGTATTTGGGAGCTATCCCACAATAAACATGCACTTTCTAACTTAAACTGTTGGAGAGTCTTTGTCTGTCACAGTTGGATATCGGTACCAGACCAATATCCATATTTTTAATAAATCACACTATTAGCAAGGTTTCTTCTTTTGTGTAAGTACCAAGGCAAGAGATCATTGCTGGGTGAGGCATGTACATTTTCTAGCTTCATCCAGCTACTCATAGCCTGCTCTCCATCCAGCTCCTCAGGACACTGTTACTACAGAGATGTAGCTGCCATAATTGTGAGCCTTTATCTTTCCTCTCTAACAAAGCAATCCCAAGGGCAACCAACAGCACTACCCACTGCACCTCCCACCTGCAGCTGTCCACACAACGGCTTCAGTGCCTGGGGTAGCTGGTGGGCAGCCTTGTGCATCTGTCCCTGGCACTCACTGACCTCCCAGGAAATTGAGGAACAATCCCTGGGCTACATTCCAGCCTGCACCCTTGCCCACAGCCATGAGAGAGCATGTACAATGCTTGGTCTTGAGGGTGACTTTATTACAGCTGCAACAGGAAGTGGGCAGAGCCAATTCATCTTGCATTTGTGGATGTCTTTTGCTTTTGGGGATCAAAATGTGATGTTATTTTAGCTGCTGTTCTTTGCCTTGCTGCGTTTTTATGGGAACATAAGGACAGATGTACTGGGCTGAGTTAGTTCTATAAACCAAACAACTTGTGTTTAAATGTGACCAGTCACAGCATCCTTTCATATATCTCTTCTTCTAATGTTGTTTGTTCCGTTAGGTTTTTATACTTTTTTTTTTCACACCTTGTCCCTCTTTCAAGTATCCTTAATTGTGTAGGAACAACAGGAAAAAAACCAAAGTGATGATATTCACAAAATTTGGCAAAGTTGTCAGAAAAAGGTGTGAAAATTTCAGAACTTAGTGTCACAAAGTTGCTAGATAATTGTATTTCATACCAGCATAAAGGCTAAGTTATATCACTTTGTGCTGGTTCTTTCTGTGTGGAGAATAATGGAACTTATGGATCATTATCAATGTCCAACAGGCAACTCATGAAAGTGCTGTGTAATGTTTAGTAAGTAACCAAGGATCAGGTTTAGCAGCTCATAAAATACAAGGATTCTTTTTATTAAATAAACAAAGATTTTGTTCAGTTTGAGTCTGCTGAGGCTTCTGGAAAGATTTACTTCATATTGAACCCATTCAAATCATCACCAAAGGATTTGCCTGACCTAATCTTACTTGAGAAGTGATGTTAACACTATTTCTTTAGCTGAAAACAGCTAAAGAAGGTAAAGGCTGAAATTACATGAAATGCAAGTGGTCAGTAGATTTTTGAAACACTTGTAAAATATTTTTCAATGATAGTGATATTTTATTCTTACCTGCATTTATGTTTCTGCCTTTTAAGGGTTCTTGTCCTAAGAAAGGTATAGAAATAAGGTTTTTAAACACCATTTCATAGCTGAATGACAATTTATAAATACTTATGACCAGTGCTAAATTACATGTAGTAAACTTCATATTTTATGTGTGTACATGTTTTTGCTTAAAAAGTTCTTAAACTTTAGCTGCAAATTCATGCCAGCTTTCTAGGTGCGCTTGATTTGGACTGCCAGAAAAAATTACTTTACACTAGTAATGCTATAGCAGGTTTTCCATGTGTAAAACTCCACTATAGCTCCTTTTTGCCTCTCCTGCTTAATCTTTACTTGTTTTGGCTGACAGAGTCTAGTGTTTGGCCAATTAAGAAGGTTTTGTTACACACCTCATTGTTCTTCATTATGTCATGTTTGGTTAATATCCATACAAGTGTTTTCCACCAAACCAAGGATATCCCATTTTCTTCTGAGTGAGCAATAACACATCTTTCTGTTGCCAAGATTAAGACAACACAGTAAGACCATTAAAAGGGAAATAAATATTTTTCTTTATAATTTAAAGACAGGAAATCTCTCCTCTCATGTTGCTTAACTTTTGTATCTCTTGGTACAATAAATCATTTGTAGGCAGCATTTGGACTGAAAAACCAACTCTAGACACTTTTACTTTCCAGGGACGGCCTATTTACCATTAGCTGTCTCACTACCACTGCTTGATGAAGGCAATAAAAACATTTAAGTTTATGCTTCCTAGAATTGTCAGGGATTTGGGAAGTGAATAAATTACCAGACAGAAATATTGAAGTCTTCAGTCAGGCAGCACATTTCTCAAATTACTGGGACTTTGTACTGGGAGCCACAGCATTTATTCTCCATCAGTATGTTTACAAATGCTTATGTCTGCATTTAATATGAAGCTTTAAAAAGACAAAAACCATGGCACAGTTCTTGTTGCTGTTTGAAGCAGGGTAGTTTTTACTACTAAGAATAATGCTGGCTAAACATCTTACTGGAGTTTGTTTTCCTTTGCTTTTAGCTAAAGGGAATGTTGAAGACTGTTACTCAGAGTTCTAGAACCTAATTTCATTTTTGACTGAATGCCTGAACACTAATGCAACTTTTAAATTTAATTTTCTTTTACTTCATTTTTTAGTATATTTTATTTTTGTTTGAGTATTTGATCTCATTTTTATTGCTGCATACGTGTACTGGATTCCTGTAATTCTTAGTTAGCATTCCCTTGGTGAGAATGATTTGGACCTCATTTCTAGGATTTAGTTACCTGGAGTGGAAGTTTAAAAGCACTGCTTTATCCTAGTGAGACAGCAGGGAGCCCATCAATATTTTCTGTGCTGAATGATTTTCAGGGCTGCTGCAGTTCTCTTTCACATGGGTGTAGATCAAGAGCAACTCTACTGATAGGAATACATTTATATTTCAGGAAGGATATTTGAATCATGTGGCTTTTTGCACTGAGCTTTTTTCTCTTGATGGCTGTTAGGAATTGCAAAGGTAAGAATGACACAGCTTGTCACGCACAGGAGCCAGCACTGGTTCATGTGGCAGCTCTTGATCTGTCCAGGTGCCATCCAAGCCTGGCACCATGGCAAAAGTGCCCAAGGGCTCAAACCTTGCTGCTAGTCTTGTGGCACATATTTGCAGCTCAGATCCTTCTTCCATTTCAGCATGAAGAGAAAACTCCTACTGACTTCAAAAACAGCATAACTAGGCCTTGAGGTGAAGCCAAGCTCAACAAGCAATAAATATATATATCCCTAGAGTGACTCAACTGGATACATCTCACTGGAGATTTTTCAATCCTAAACTTTTCAATATCAGGGTGAAGTTGCATTTCTAAGAGTATCTAATTCTCTGTACTTTGTATAAGGCCCAGGAGCCCACTTCTCAAGGACAACATAACTGTCTACACAAAAGTGACACCAGTGACTTGTGTCCCCTCCAGGACCTGAGGACTCCTCTCCATCTCTCAGTGACTTCCAGGGCATGTAGCTTGCCTGGGGCAGCAGATCAGGGTAGATCAGAGCTTCCAGATCCAGATTAGACACTGGGCATGCCCAGCAAGAGCAGCCAGTGAGCATGGAGAGTACGACATTTGTAGTTCATCAGTGAATAATGAGAAATGAAGCTCTGCTTCAGCTGATACTGTCACACTTGCAGAGCTTCCTTTCCCTTTCCCTGCTTAAATAGTGATTACTCTTACAGTCTATTGTGGGAAGTTCAAAGCCAGACTTAATCTCTAACTATCGCCTTAACACCTCAGAAAGTGAGGGAAAAGTGGTGAGAAAGAGACAAAGGAAATAAACAAACCCAGCTATGCAAACTGCAAAAGTAAAATACTCAATAAAAGCTAGACAAGAAGGAGGTGACAAATTATATGAAAATTAAACAAAGACACGGTGTTAAATTGTGAAAAAATATAAAATTCAGGGTGTCAGACTGTCAAAGAGATTTTTAGAGACTAATTTGACAACTTTTCTGGTAAGGACTGATTTTTACTAGAAGAGGGAAATTAAGCAGACCTCATCTATATGTGCTTCAACAAAGCATGGGGACATACAGGAATTAGTTCAGCTGGAAAAGATGGAGAAGATGAATAGAAATACAGGATTTATAACAAGTCTATTAAATTGCCTGGTGAGGAGGCAATAATGTTACCCTGAAAGCAAACTACTGGTGTTGGATAAAGGTCTATAATCCTGAAGAATTTGCCCTTAAAATTGTTTACAGTTTTGTTAGATAACTCAGCACAACAAAGCAGGAATGTGCTAAGACATGAGCATAAGAGATTTTGTCTGCAGGAGAGGATAAGGGCATCATATTGTGAGATGTGAATGGACTTTGATTGGGATGATGTGTGATACTAAAAGTATGCTGAAAGTCTTTAAGGAATAATAAAAATAATATCTGCTAGAAGTTAGAAACTACAATGGAGGAGAAATTACTGTGTGTACAATTTTCAGCTCTCACAGTCCTAATCAATGAATCTTAATTGGAACAAATGTACAAAGGAAGCCACACTGTTCCCATGACCACACCAGTCTTTATTACACAAAAGAATAAACTAGGCTGAGTTGCTGACAAAGCAGAGAGAATGTAACTGTTCTCAGACCATTTGTAGTAGCTACCTGCAAAAACATACCCCTGAAGAGCTGTGATGTGTCTTTGAGTAGCTAAATCCTTGAATGGATCTCCAATATCTTCTGCCTTCTGTATTCCAGTATTTCTTTAGCACAGACTATGTCTGGCTTCAAGTCACAAACCTTGCTCTCTGCTAAACAAAGCAGCATTTGTTCACAATCCAAAAGCAGAGCTAGGCACAGTTAATACTCTGAGTCCCACAGCACTGTGAACTTAGGTACACCTTTGTTCAACAAATTGTAACACCTGAACACTGTCATCTTTATTTTGGCCACTCGTCAGGTTAAGAAATTTGTCTGAGCTAATGTTAGGCTGTCAGATGACACTAAATAGACTCCATCTGTTCCTTCAGAGGCTGTGATTAGCACTTATCCTCAGTGGCTCAGAAATTATTCTCCTACAGTGGTGCCTTTGGCTTTAGTCCCTGTCTGATACACCTGTCAAACCACATTTTGAACAAGAAAGCATTGTCAAAAATTGAGGTGCTGTCTGACTCTGACAGGTGTAGAAAGTGTTATTTTCAGTAAAATGTGACTCAAAACAGGCACAACATTTTTAAAGACAGTTACATTAGGAAATGTAGAGATAGTAGTGGGAAAACAGTAAGAGCAAAAGTAATTCAACAAGGGAATGGGATGGAAAGAAAACTGCTTTGATTTTAGGACTGTTGTTTATCATTTTCACTTTGGTCAGGAGTCACCCTTGAAAGCCCATCAATGTAAAGAAGCAATACTTGAGACAAAGAATTCTTATTTCCAAATATGTGTCATGATACTTCTTAGTTTACAGATTTGCATTTATGCCAAAAGTCTGACTCAGGACAAGAAAACAACAGTGTATAGAAAGAACCAGGGAGGAATATCTGAGAATTAATACTGCCTCTTTAAACATTTGATATACTTAACTTCTTGTAATTTGTGTTCAAGTTTCTTAGAAAAAAGTTCTTACTTTACCTCCAGTGAATTTAAATATCCAAATGTAAACTCTTTGACATTTTTCAAGAGTTTACTGTCCAGCTATACATTGCCTGTTGTTTTTAATTCATTAGAGTAACTTGAAACTAAGGATTTAATTTTTAGTTAATGTTAATTTAGTTGAGAAAATACACTACCTCAAGATTCTTCAATTTACTTGCAGTAAGTGTACATTTTACTGATTTTCATGTACATATATCAAACTGCATATGAACTGGTCATTTATCCCCAAAATAAATATAAAACCAAATGTTATCAAAAAATAAATATTCATATAAGTAGTTCTCTCTAAAGCACAAGCGTTTGAAAATGTAAACCTTTCATTACGCCCTTCAGTAAATTTCTAGTTCTATCAAATATTTACATAAAGGTTGAATCAAGCCCAGTCAAGGGCTTTACAATTATAAAAATCTGCAGCAACCACCTGGTGATGAAATTGGGAATATTACTTTCATTATATTGTAATTTCATCAGTGATAGTCTTCTTGGTATTTAACACCAACACAGCTTTCCAAAGTCTGATACAAACATCTTGAAATTTTTCCAGAAAACAATATGAAGTTCGTTCATCTGGGAAAGAACTAAGATAATATTTTACATTTAATATGATTAAGTAAATAAGCAGCTGTGATTTCTATGAGTTGTAACATTTTCTTAGGCTTCAGGGTTAGCCCAGTGCAGAGCAGATGGCTGCACTCTGATCTGTTAAGGGAGCTTAGATAATTGCAATGGTAAAATAATATTTTGAGAGGGCTGTTGATAAGTAGCTAGCCTGATGCAAATGTAAGATGGCATGCTTGGATGATTTGTGCCATTTGAGATCCTCCAGTCATGAAAGGATTCAAAAGCTGAAGCTGCAGGGCTTTGAAAGGAGAAAAGGAAAAATAGTCCTGCTACTGGGCAGAAAAAACTTCCTGCCAGAGCCTTCATCTCTCTGCTTCCCCTCTCAGCTGAAGATCTGCTCTGAATCTCAGATCTCTTGCACCCATTCACATCCTGGAATCTGAGGAACATCCTGGAATCTGAGGAACAGGCTGACATGAGAGGTGTTGCATTTAGTTTCCAACAAAGTAGGACCGTGATCTTTTTGTCACCTCTGCACTGCTTTCCTGAAGTCACACACACTCCTCTAGCAATTTCAAGGGGAAACTTGCTTATAAACATCTAGAAAGCCACCAGTAAAAAATAACACCAAATTTAAGTGAGCTGAAATTTCTTCAACAGAAACTGAAATTAACAACCTAATCCAAATGTCGTTTCTCTCAAGGAAAGATTTAATGAATCTTTTTTTAAATGTAGTTTAAAGAAGAGAGTGTCACTGTCAGAGAGGGGGAGAGTTTGGCTTTGGGTTTTGGGACTTTTTTGCAGTTCTCCTATTCCAGATTAGTGAGAAAGGATAGGAGTGGTGTAAGAGAACTGGAATCCCTTTGGAGTGTTGACTACACGTTAGCAAAAAGGCTATCACAGAGAGTACTAGGCCAAAAGAGTCTCCTAACACCATCAATACTTAGGCTTCTTTGCTTCAATCTTGTCATTTGATGTAAATTAAAGCAGCATAAACAATTTATTGGCATGGAGGGATGGTTTCTCAGAACTATTTCTTCATATCTTACAGAGTATGTCTTCTTTCATTTTTAAAATTGGCAATAACATGAGAAATGTACATGCTTTGTGGTAAATAGGTCCTAGTTTTGCTTAGTGGCAATACAATGAGATGTGATTTGATGTATCTTGATAACTTAATTGATAACAGAATGATACCTTAGGTGGCAATACTTTCAGCTTGTGAGGTAAACTGGGACAGCTGTGCATCCTCACAGTAGGATTTCCTTCTCCAACCTTTTCTGAAAACAACAAAGAGAACAAATATATTTCCCCGACTGACAGGAACAATTGGTCAGTAGCAGTGGACTTCAGCTGGTGGTGACACACAACAGGCTCGGCAAAACTATCAGTGACTGTTTCTCTCTTTGTGTATTGCTAAGAACTCTCATCTGCATATTACGATGGTCACAGACCTCTGAGCATGAAGTCTTCAGCACTTTGGCAATGCCATTTAGCAGAAAATCTCATGGGACTTTTCCTGCTTAGAGGTAAAACAGGATGCTTTCCAGACAGCATATGACAACTTTGAGAAAGAGAAAAAATTATGAGAGAACAAGGTATGAACCAGGAGGAGCTATTAGGCTGTGGTTTAGGAATGGTACTCCCCAATTTAGTGCTCCCACTGAGGCTCTCCAAACCTGCTGCTCACCCACTTTCCCTCCCCCTTGGTGGAGAGGAGAACTGGAGGCACAAAAGGGGAAGGTCACAGGCTGAAATAAGAAAAAATGTACTGGAAACAGCAATGAGATGAAAAACCAAACAGTAAGAAGAACAATATTAATAACAAAAGTGTACAAAGGAGAGAGAGTGATTCAGATGCAAAATGGTCACCACAGAGCCTGGCCCAACCCAACCACAGCCACACTTCCCTGGCCACCCAAGCACTCCCTCTGCCACAGTCACTGAGCAGAAGAAACCCCGTGTCCTGGGGAAACTCCCCTCTCCCTGCCTTGGCAATGATGTGAGCTGCTGTAAAACAACCTCTGTGTCCTGGCCATGCCCCTCCTGGCTTCTGCAAGAATCAACCCTGCCCTGGCCGTTACCAGGACACAGGCTCATTTATGGCTTAAGCCATTTCTAAAGTATTGTTGACTATTGGGTATAAAATGCTGCTGCTGACTGAAATTCTCATTTTAACTTCAATAGCTGTGGCACTTCATGTAGCTCAAAAACCTGTGTGGTTCTGCTACATGCATCAATTCAATCACATTTTGTCTCTTTCTTATGCATGCAACTAAGATACTATCTAAATCTAAGTGAAAATGTGACCTTTTCTTGATTATTCTTGGTGGCATATTTTCAATTCTCTTGGCATTCTCTTACTCCTCATAACACTTATTTTAATTATGTGTATACATCCCGTAAAATGAATAAATTTTTCCTGCTATTCTGCACAGATATTTTTTCCTGAGATATCTTCACTGCTTTTCCCATTTTCACACTTTTAATTCCACTTAATCTCCTCATTGCTACCTTTCACGTTTTGCCTTTGCCATTTCTATTTATAAAGCTAATAAAATACCAAGGAATCATTCTGACCTTTCCAGGTAATCAATATTAAGGACATTCAGCTATCAGCAAATATTGTTTCAGACAATAATTATACCAGAGAGTGGCAGTTTCTCATTCATCAGCTTAAGCAGACGTCTGGGGGAGGAAATAGGAATACCTTAAGTACCTGAGATTTTGCTTCAGAAACATCATTTTTGACACATACACATTAGCTGGGCTTGGTTGAGGGTAGTTTCTGCTCTAAAGCAGTGTTGCACTGTTAGCAGAAAGCAGTCCATTCTGTCTGCTCTTTCTGAGCATAATTGCTCCATGGATGACAAATGACTGTTCAAACTACTAGCACAATGGTTTATTGTCTTTTTGCAGTGGAGGCACTTCACGAAGATTAAAAGTGAAAAAATGTTATTAGATTTCCAGCTTAATATCAAGAGAGCAAGGAGAATTTGGGGTGCAGAAAAATGCCTGATGTTCGATCTGGAGATGGAATGATTTGAGACACATCCTGGTATAGTGGGAACTGTACTGTAGCCATGAAAACTTCAGAGCAGGAAGCATGGGATTTAAAAAAGAAGGGTCATACTATCCCAAGGGGAACACTTGAAGGTTAAAAGAAACCATTAGTTCTTCCCAAAGGCTTCTTTTATTTGTCTGTAAGTACAGATGATGGAGGGAGAATAATGCACAGCCAGCTGGTGTCCTCAGATGCTCCCTAGAGTGGAACAGAAAGATAAGCAATTATTGCCAAATAAATGGCAAACTACGATTATCACCAAGGGAATGTAATACTTCACAATCATAAATGCTCCATACTTAGCATGGGAGGGGAAGACTTTAAGATGTGTGAAATGAAAAAATAGAAAGCCATTAAGAAAATTGGTGTTGTCAGATTTCAATAGTGCCCGGTGCCTTTAAATCCTAAACTATTTTAACAACTGTTTGTTTCTACTTTTCTTAACCTTCTTCTAAAGCCTCTTGAATTTCTACTAGGTTGTCTCAACTTCAAACCTGATTCCTCATAGCTGGCTATATTTGCCATCTTAACATTTTCTAAATTTAGAGATTAATCATCTTTTTTTGTTGTCTTCAGGGAACAGAATATTTGGGCTCAGTTACTTCAGAAATCCAGGTTTCTGATCATAATAATGGATAATAACAAAAACATTTCTATTGTAAATGCAAGTCATGTCTGTAAGCTGCATCTTATGCACCAAGCTTCTTTGCCAGGGATGTGAACCCCTCTGCTACTACAGAAAATACTGAACAAGGCAGGAACTTTAAATATCTTCAAAGACAACCTGTACAATTGAGTTTGTCACACAGCAGAGCTCCCTTTATAGCTAGTGCAGAGAAACAGGTACTTGTAGGCATTATCTCTTTTAGTATTTTTCTCCATGTCTGTAACAGGAGCCTGGTCTTGAGCAGCAAGTCTGTAAACAGGTGTCCTCAATACTTACATCTAGAATTACTCTAAATGGATTTTCCCATATACCAATGCATCTAATGTTTTGTACCTTGTATACAGAGTTTAAATCAACTTTGACATGACAATTGCCTAAGCATCCTCACCCTTTTTAATGAGATCATTAAAAAGAGACAAATCACAAATGTGCTTCCCTTAATGTATGTCAATGTGATTGCAAAACAAAGAGGTTTGCTTTTTGTTAGGCAGTTGCAATAAATAGATGCCAAAATACGTGCAGAGACTGGTTGGAAGAATTCTATTTCTACAGCAACACCCAAGCTATAAAATATAAATTACAGTTGGGATTTGCATAGTTCATCTCAATGGGCAAAGTGAACCTGACTTGTTCTGAATTCAGGGCATTTAACACAAAACAAAGAACTTTTAGGCAGAATAAGTGCAGTAAATTAAATTTATCAGTCATTTATTACCTCTTTGCATTTCCTCTTCAAATGTTCTCTAGTCCAACAAGCAGCCTTTCCTGCCCATGTAGGTCATCTGTACCACATGTATGCATTTGACAGGTCAGACTTCGTACATTTAGATTCATGTTGTATGCACACAGTCTGGTCAGAGCAGATTCAAAATCCAAATAAGCTGTCTAAACCATGCTTTTACACCCAGGGCTAAATTCCTATGCCATTAAAGGGCTACACAGTAAGAGTAATTAAACTAATCTGAACAAGTTCTTTAAAAATATTGAAAAAAATGACAAGGTAATTCACATTTGAATCAAACACATATGCTTGCATTAATAAAAGACACAATAAAAACTACTCCAAAGTTTGTTTGTACAGCACAATTATTTCTGATGTAGGAAGGCTTTTCTCCTGACTTTTCAAAAATCCAACAGAATTAGCCCTCATTTAAAATACAAAATGTGAAAAAATAAAAATTAATGTGAAAGTATCAAGAAGAGAGGATGAAAAGATATTTTCTGATAAGTATTTTTCCATTCATTTTTTGTTGATGATTTCTTTAAACTGTTTTGTTCACAAAATGTTTGTGTGGTTAAATAATTGCACTTGCATATCAGAATGACAGACTGAAATATAGTTATGACTGGAAGAATGCTGGATTTTTAAAGAAGCAGGAAATGTGTGCCTTTTTTTTTTTTAATAAAGCCAAATGACATCTCTGAGTGATGTTGAGATAGGAATCTACAGTCATTGTTACATTGCTGTGCATGGTGTGAACTTCCAGTTCTTACCAGAAGTATCTCAATGTAGAACAGAGTACTGTGGAAGTCTCTGGTTTTGTACTATTTATTTTTTTCTATCTATCTTACAAGTTTTATCTCTTTGTCCATCCTACAGGAGTGAATGCCATTCATATGAAATTGGCAGTAAAAGCAATGTCTGCCAGTACCCTGGCACTTCTTTTATGGAGGTACGATTTCACCTGAACATTGTTTCTTCTCAGCTTCACAACACGGTGTCCAATTTCCTTGGGATAAAGTAGCCAGTGTTTTTAGCACAGCAAGCAAATTCCTGATCCATCTCCGCTGGCCACTGCCCTATCTGTTATGTGAATCCAGCTAGCAATCAGAAACCTTGGGCTGCTTTCTCTGCAGCATGAGCAGCTTGAGGGGAGGAGAGTAGCTGGTGAGAGAAGCCTTGTATTTCATAGTGTGCTTGGCATGTCCAATGTCACACTTGGACCCAGAGGCACATTCCTGCTGCAGCAGGACTGTGTCCAGTTCTGGCCCCTCAGTTTGGGAAGGACATTGAAATGCTTGAACGCATGCAGAGGAGGCGACAAGGCTGGTGAGGGGCTTGGAACACAAACCCTGTGAGGAACATTTGAAGGACCTGGGGTTGTTTAGCCTGGAGAAGAGGAGGCTTAGAGGTGACTTTATAGCTCTCTACATTTTCTTGAAGGGAGGCTGTAGGCAGGTGGGGTTTGGTCTCTTCAACCAGGCAGCACTGACAGAACCAGAGGACACAGTCTCAGGCTTTGTCAGGGAAGGTATAGGTTGGATATTAGGATAAAGTTTTTCACCAAAAGAATAATAAAATACTGGAATGCTCTTCCCAGGGTGGTGGTAGACTCACCATCTCTGGATGTGTTTAAAAAAAGACTGGACATGGCACTTGGTGCTGTAGTCTAGTTGAGGTGTTAGGGCATGGGTTAGACTCGATGATCTTAGAGGTCTCTTCCAAACTTATTATTCTGTGATTCTGTATCTGTATTTTCTTTGCTAACTATGTCACAGGTTTCCTTCCAAGAAAGATAATTGTTGAACCTGAGAAGGCTCTACCCTATCCCAGCCTCTAACCTGGTTTTAGAGCCAAAGCATCACACCAGAGGGGCCAAAATGTCCCAATCTGCCAGACACATGACTCAGAATATGCCGGCTCCTGGGATGAGACGAGCAAAAAGAGAAGACCTGTCTGAGAGCCAGACTCCCAGGCAATCATGCCAGTAGCAAGCCCATTCTTGGATAAACACAAATTTTCCAGTGTGTTTTCCGCAATTCAGAGAAGCATGGACACTTCTCTCAAAGCAGAGGCTGTGTAGATGTCTCTGTGGCAATGTAAAACTTCTGCTTCTCAGCAAGGTGAAAGCTCCCTGACCTGGCAGTGCAGACAATGCAGAGGGCAGCAGCTCTGCACTGTGCTGAGAGCACACCCTGGTTACCAAGAGCCAGCCTGGGATCCAGAACTGCAGGATGAGATGTGCATCACAGAGCCTGGCTGGGCTCAACAGGAATCCCCTTTTCACTGTTCAGACCTATCACTTACCACAAAACAAACTGCCAAAAATTCTCACTCCCCTGCACAGCCCTATCCTGCAGATTAAAAGATCCTTTTTATTTTGTATCATATTTCAGACTCTGGGGGAGTATTTACTTCTGTAAAAAAATCTAGGACTAATTTTTTTTTTTTCTGTCTTGTTCACAGTTGCTTTTCAGTTTATATATTTTTTATTTATTTTTCAACATGGTCCTGTTATAACAGGAAAATTGACATGTTGAATTCTCAGTTACCAGAGAGAAACAGAGTACCAGGGAGAGGACAGATGCTAAAATGGCCTGGAAATATCAGCACAGCAAATGAAATGTGCTGGATTTAGGGCCTGAGAAGCAGTAGTCCGTCAGTCTTGTGAGATGCCTTGTTATTTTCATTTTTGCAAGCAGTCATGGCCTCTTCAAGTCTTCTAAGTTATTGATCTGGTCTCTGCCATTCTCCCTTGCTAGTCAGAGGAAAAAGGAAAGCACCATTTAGATACCTATTTTAGAAAGCTGGAGTATAAAACAGACAACTGCTGTCTAGACAGCTTAAGTATTTCCGTGATCAGTCTTCAAAAGTCAAACTATGTGACTTCCAAATACTGCCACTGGCAAGTGTGCAACAGCTTGGATTAAACCAGAGCTGTGAAACTGAACATTTCTTGTAACTCAAGTGCACCAAGGATGTTTCTCAAAGTATTTTATAATTGTAGATTAAAAAGTGAAATTTTGGAAAGTTGGATAAAACTATCAAGGCCTTCAAATTTCACACACAATCCCAAAAGGGACAATGACAGCATTTATGTTCATAGAAGATGATATTCATACCTGGGAATCCAAACAGTGTACACTGAAGCTGAATGAATGGGAAATGTCAGCCCTCATGTGGGCACACACACACACCCACACACCAAAAAAATGTTTTCACCAATCTTGTTTTCACTTACTCTTAAGTTGAGAAGATACTCTACCCTGTGGTAAATGTAACTCTGCCACAGAAATTGCCAGCTGTTGCCCAGCAAATTTTTCATCCCTTTGTTCAGGGCCATTATCCTTTTCTCCAGGATGGGAGAGCTCACGTGGGGAAAGGGCACTAAACATGCCATGCTCCAGTCTGTTGGGAGAGACTGGGAAAAGCATTAAGCCTTTTTCCAGTACTCTGAGACTAAGTAAGGTACATGAATTGCCTCATGAGTTTAGGTGTCCCCCTGAGTCTTGGTGGCATTCCCCCTTAGACAGCAGTGGTCTGGTAGGAAGCTAACAAAGGATGTGACGGATTAGAGACAAATTTTCCTGGGCAAATATTAGAAACTTTATGGAATTGAAAGTAACAGGAAAATGGTAGTGGTTTAAACTCAGCAGGCAACTAAGCACCACACAGCCACTTGCTTACTCCTTACCCTTGCCACAATAGGATGGGGAGGAGAACTGAAAACAAAAAATATTAAACTTGTGGGTTGAGATAAGAATAGTTTAATAACTGAAATAAAGTAAAATAAAAAAGTATAATAACCACACAATAATAATTGCAATCAAAAGAAGAAAGAGAGAGGAATAAAAACCCAAGAGAAACAAGTGAGGCACAATACAATTGCTCTCCACACACTCACCTTTTCTCAGTCCATCCCCAGGCAGAAATTGGCCCCTCACAGTCAATTCCCTCCAGCTGAAATACTGGGAATGAGTTGCTGTGCCATGGAGCATCCTTTAGGATAGTTCTGGTCACCTGTCCTGGCCATGTTCCCTCCTGGCCTCCTGTGCACCTGCCCACAGGCAGAGCATGACACACTGAAAAGTGCCTAATTAAATGTAAACACTGCTCAGCAACAACTAAGATTTCAATGTGTTATCAGCATTATTCTTTTACAGAATCCAAAACACAGCACTGCACTAGCTGCTGAGGAAATGAACTCTACACCAGGTGAAATCAGGACCTGGGGGACTGTGACCACTGCTGTACTGTACTTGGTGGTATTATTATGGAACTTTATGGTAAGATGAGAGTGTTAACATGTATTACAGTAATCTGTACTTTGTTTTGTGTAAATGCTTCCTCCTCTCCCTCTTTTCTCTTTCTCCAGTGTCCTCAGCCTGTCTGGGCTAGTGCAGCTCCTATGTACTGTTATGTACCCTTGTCTGCTCTAAGGGACTTTACCCTGTGTGCAGGTTTTTGTCTGCTCACCGGGGACTCACACACTAAACTTTTCTAATGCCACAGATGAGAACAGGAAGAACTTACTTCTGGATCTGTTCCCTGAATACCTAAAGCTTTGCCCTATCACTGTCCACAAGATATGAAAAATCAGTAAATCATATGCTGAATATCAAAATTTCTTTTAAATAGTTTCATTCTTTCCCCTAAGCTTCTCAAGGAAGTGGAAATACCGTGTGCCTGCCCTTTCTCTGTAAGCCTCTCAGTATCTTTCCCCTTTAGCTGCTGGAGTCATTAGCCTATTCCAACAAATCTGCCAGCGCACAGTCTCCAAGGAAATGCTGTCATGAGCACAGGCAGTTGAATAGGGAGAGCAGCACAAAATGGTGCCTCATCTAACACAAATTTTGCCACCCAATTTCAACAATTATCTATTTTCTTTGCTCTGGTGGCAGCTTAGCAAATGCACACGAGCCAGCAAATACACACAGCTGAGCAGCACAGTTACAGCCTGGGAGCACTGACATCCTCAGAGCCTTTCCCAAACGGTGACCAGAGAGCAGGGGAGGCTGCAGAGGGAAGGGACAACCCAGGGGAAATGGCTGAAATGCAAGAAGGCAGAAGCATTCACATTTGAGGGGCAGGACGAGGGATCTACAGTGTGTAGGGAGAGGATAAAGGACAGACATCCATAGGAGATGTTTTGTTTTAATGCCATTGTTCACAACAATGATGTTCTGGAGCAGCTCCATAAATTCTGCCCTCTGATAATCTTAATTTACCCTTTCTTTTTTGATAGAGTTTTGGTATTAACTGCTGCCTCCAATTGTGTGTAACCCATGTCGACCTTTTATTTCAACTTCTTTGACCCAAAGTCCGCATTTATTTTGTTTATCCACAATCTATCTCCCTCTGACTTATTTTTATTTCTTCTTTGCACATCAGTTCTTGCTGTCTGTCTGGAAATCAGAATACTCAAAATAGCTTCTGAAATTGATTGAATGCAATATCTCATTTTGTTTTTTCTAGAAACAATTTCATTTAAACTACAGCTGCTTTTTTCATTATTAAAATTAATTGTAAGGTCATAACAATTGTTACCCTCTCTAAATGAGATTGGAACATAGAATTAACTGGAAAATATCCTGATAATTAAGTTTTATCTTCCCAGTGAGTAAAAGGATTGTGGTTTATAATTTGTTGAGAAACAAGTGTTAACTCTTTTAGTGTGATTTTAGCAATGTGGAAAACCTTGGAAAACGCTATCATTAAGAGTATATTAAGTAACAACTGTTCTTAATTATTAAGATTTTGCTGGAGGGAAAAGAAAAACACATAATTTCATATATAGATTAATCCTTGTGCTCTTTTTTAACAAGGACCATGTTTCTGAGAGTAACCAGTGTGTTTGAGACTGTAGTCTAAGCAAGCTAGGAAAATAAATTCCTCCCATGAAGACAGCAGCCAGCCCTGCTTTGCTCCATCCTATATTGCTAATACCTTCTATACAAAGACAAGAGACACTGGTGAATCCCACCTGGCAAGGAGAAATAATTTTAACTAAGCTTTATCTAAATGAAGACAGTTTTATACCTCATTTAAGGGTAAATCATCTAAAGAGCAGTCCTGAAACTCTCACAGGGGTATTAACAAATTTTAATTCGTATTAGATTTCTCTCTGCCAGTGAGGGTTAGATTTTTGTCTCTTTTCTGGGAAGTCACTGTCAAAACAGTCTGGCATAGAAGAGGATGAACAATTAGTGACTTGGATTGCTGCAGAGTTTCAGTATCTTATTAACTGCATTAAGGGGCAGGGTGGAAAATTACCTTGACATCACTTTTGGAAACACCACCTCAGCAGAGATTCTGAAGTCCCTGCTCTGTTTGCCACATTATAGAAACTACAGAGGTCAGGGGCTTGCTCCATTTGCAGCTCTGTTGGCATTTGTGTGGCAAAGAGATGTGGAGTTTAAGACTATCTGATTTTTAAAGATCTGGCATGTCTGCTATCTGATTTTTTAATTAGGAGAAATTCATCCTTTTCTTCATTACAACACCGACTCATTTGATTTTCTTTTGGCCATATACTAAAGAGTTACAGCCTTTCCTTTGGGTACATTTATAATTTTCTATTGAAAAATATCACATTTCATTCCAAGGAACAAATTTATCTAGCATTATTTATAGCTTTAAAAATGTTTTGATACAGAATATAGTCTAAAATTCTCAAATATTTAAGCTTCAGCTTTATTTTTTACTCACACTTGGGAGTGACAAATTCAGGTTACTGGTTCAGAAGGTATTATTTTCCTTGACATTTAGGAAATTTTGTCCATGTCCTTTTGTCCATGTCCTTTTGTCCATGTCCTTTTGTCCATGTTTCACAGAAATCAAATAATTTATTATAATATTGAAATATAATAATCTTGAACATTTTACATAACTAAAAAAGGAATTAAAACAAATATCATCTTCTGTAACCACTGTTTAAAAAATTGAAACAATTCTTAAATTTTTCAGTAGGGGAAAAAGAATCATACAGTAAAAATAGAGCCTTGCAGAATCATAATTCTCATGAATATTTTTTCTGAGGTGCTGGCATTTGTATCTCCCTTTTTCCAACAATATCCATTATTTTCCCAATAAATTGAGATGGATTTCTCCTTTATTAACCATAAACTCATAATAAAGGCATCAGTCATGTCTTCTCTCAATATTAGCTAGAAACAAATTAGCACAATTAAAAGAGCAAGTGTATTTCTTAATTGAAAGGCCATTTGCTTATTTGCACCATTTTTATCTGAAGAACATGTTAACCACACTTAAGAAGTTGAGCTGTATTAAAATTTTCCTTCATTCTGCTTCATTTATTTTACTGGTATTTTGACAAGCTGAGAATAGCACCTGCGTTTGAAATTAAGTGGTGCAAAATTTTGCTATGAATGCTAATTAACATTTGCCTAAAATTCTGTGACCAAGGTGCTGGAAAATGGGTGAGTGGGACCATGTATGGCTTGCATATGGTCTCAATATCTGGTAGTGGTACACCTGGAGCTCCACAGCAGCACCACAGACCTCCTGCTTGTCCTTAGAAATTCACCTGTCTCAAGAAGGTGAATATTTTAGCAGTGCATGGAAGTGTTGATTTATAACACTTTTAGAAGTGCACAATTCCTGTTTATATATTAGATCACTGAAGAACACTGGAGATATTCTTCAGTGATCTAATATATATTCCAGGATTCGCTTTTTAGAAATACTAGTCAGCTATTCCAAAAACACAGAACTAAAACAGATTCTGAACTTTCTTGATGAATTTTTAATAAATTCAAATTGCATGTTGAATTATCCAACGTTAATGGATGAGCTCATTAAAGGAGACAGGATTGGTGGCAGCCTGTTTGAGTTTGTGATCTCAAGGACCAAATGCCTGTGAGGCTAAAGGGAATTCCATGGTGTATATTTCAGTCCTAAGAATTAGTTTCATGTATGATTTTCAATGTGAAAACTGAAAGACTAGCAGCAGAGAATAGAGTCAACCATACAATGCAGTTTTATGTCTGAAAGTTAATAAGTTTCATAATTCATCAGAATACACCTTAAAAAGCAGCTGTAGACCCACCATTCCTTGCTTAAAAAAAAAAAAAAAAAATCACTCTTCTTACTTTTTTAGTTTTTCCTGGATCTCTTGATGGCTTTTCATATGGAGAAATCTGAGCATTTTTATGCACATTGTCAGAAAATTACCTGTACAAACCTAACATTTCATCACTTAACTTCACTCTGTGTAAACTAAAAAAACAAACAACACAAAACACACAAACAACACAAAACACACAAACAAGCAAAGCCCCTCACCTGGACTAATCTATCTCTAGCTGCTGCACTGCCTTTGCCATCAGACATCAGTGACCCTGCATATGAAGGGAAGGAGTTTTTAGCTGGGCTTTAGCTGCACATTTACTCTTGTTCATCATGAAGGTGGTGGTAATAAAATTAGAAATATTGTCCTTTGCTTTCAAACTCTTTTTCAGTGTTCAGTCAGTGCTCAGGAAGCCCATCTTCCTCCTTCTGCACTCCTGGCTACCAGGCTGCCCTAGGTTAATTCCTGAGTGAATAAATGCTGAGGAAACTGAGAGAAAGAACTTATTCCATAGCTCCAGTTGTTTAAAACACATCTTTTTCATGTCACAGCAAGCTCAATATTACCATACCTTTCAAGAGAAAATTGTGAAGAGCCCTGTCCCCTGACTCACAAAGTTATTTATATACCCACATTGATGAATAGATAGCAGATATGTAGAGAAATGAGTTCTAAAACAAATTCTGTGATGGTGTTCATAGGGGTCTTAGGATGAGGGAAGAGATGAGGATCTGACTCCATGTTTCAGAAGGCTTGATTTATTATTTTATGATATATATTACATTAAAGCTGTACTAAAAGAATAGAAGAAAAGGTTTCACCAGAAGGCTAGGTAAGCTAAGAATAGAATCAGAAAGAATGATAACAAAGGTTTGTGGCTCGGGCCCTGTGTCCAAGCCAGCTGGGCTGTGATTGGCCATTAATTACAAACAACCAACATGAGACCAAACACAGATGCACCTGTTGCATTCCACAGCAGCAGATAACCATTGTTTACATTTTT